TGTTATATCATCCGATAGATCTATATTGAATGTTATTAATTGAAAATTAAAAATAAACTTTTACCACGAAATACAGCATAGGTGGATTTAAAATCTCCGATAACTTTTTGTAAAATATTTTGTAATTCATCAGCATCAATACCACCTAATTCAATCGATTCATATATAGAACATTCTTGTGCAGTTGCTAAAATATCCTAAATATATAAAATTCCAAAAACAAAAAGTTTCATAGATTTAAAAAAGTACACAATCTTCGCTTGATTGAAAAATTTTCAATAAACAGAATGTACCTTAGAAGGAGACAATTCTCTGCATCAAATAAACATTTATTTCGTATTTATTTCTATTTTATTTTTTATGGAACTCACATATGTTTTTCAAGGAAAATAGTTGAGTGTAAGTTTCAAGTCGAAAATTTTCAGCTTCTCCATGCTCTAGCTTTTGATTTAAGCAATGGAGAGTTTTCAGAGATCAATGGACTATATTCAACGAAAACAGACGCTGAATGGCATTTACAACAAGACCTAAACTGTTCTAGAATATTTCAATGACTTTTTTAAAACTTGAACGCCTGGAATGCATTTGTAAATATTCTAAAGAGCACAATTTCTGATTTTTACACAGACAAACAATTCTATGATAGATGTCAAGAATCATAGGATGGCCATACGTTCAAGTATCAAACTGTCGACAGTTTCTGTTTGGTTCGAATCATGTTGAAACTTTGAGAATAATAAATAGCAATATTTCTGAGTGTATCAAAATATATAATAATGTTGTGAGACTTGCTGCTGTTCAACAAAACAAGCAAACAATAGAATACTAGTAAAAAAAATTCTGTTCAATATGCACAAATAGTTTCTCTGTTGATCGATTATCCTTGAAAAATAACTATAGTCTATTAAAAACTTTGCATTTTACGCATCATTCATTAATATAATGATGCTCAATAACAATATGTTCAGCATTTCATGATTCATATATAAATCAATATAGTATTTTTTTAAATTTTGACATACATTAGGAAAAATTCAGTTCATTACATTGAAGATATTCAATTATTTTAAATGAAGCAATTTATGAGTTAGTCTATATCTGACGAGTACAAAATTGTGATCACTTTCTCACAATAATTAAAGTTATCATTTTTTTTTTTCTTTACTCGAATTTGAAAGATTCACTCATAGTATGCATTGTAAAATGATTTGAGAAATACAAAAACTATTCTTACTTTAAGCATTTTAAGTCGATCAATAAAATGATCAAATCGTTCAAAGATTTTTGACTCTGGTATTTCCCAATAAAGTGTCTAGAAAATAATGATTAACATAGACATTATTAAATATAGAAGAAATTTTACTTGACGATCATCATTAAAATACGATGGTAATAATTCCTTACGACGTTGATACGATCTTTTATATAGAAGACATGTTTCAAGTGATAAATTAATCAATTGAATTGGTTCATCAAAATCTGTATCAACAAATAAATCATTTGGTTGAAGTAAATCACGAATCTACGAAACAAACAATATAGAATGCATACAATGTAATATTCTCATGTATATGTGGATCTTATTCTCACATCCATACTAGATAATATCATGTTTGCCCTTTTTTTATTTAAATGAGAAAACATTAGATGTTCTAAACAATCGAAATCTGACGATTCAAATCAGATAAGACATGGGATCTGATCTTTTTTCACAGGAACCTATGCTAAACAAATGAATAACGGTTTTGTTGTACGTTCTTAATTTTAAATTTGAGCATATCAATTCTTCTGCTTAGTTTTGAATGATGCATTAAAATAAAATATTCTCAGAGAATTTTTTTTGAAAATTCTGTAGAAGTTAGAGTAGTTTGTAGAAAAAAAATGGTGTTCTTGATATAAATAGTCTTATCCATTATTTAAGCTCTTTTGAACAAAAAAAGAGTGATCAATACAAAACGTATACATCTAGAATCATTTGATCAATCCCTATCAAAACATTTATAAATAAATGAAAAAACTAAATCTATTTGAATTTTGCCTTACATAAATATTAATTTCTTGTTTAAATTATTTCCAAAATCTTACTTTTAAAATAACAAGATTTGTCCATTGTTGTAAAAGTCCAATAAATCGATCTATATTTGTATTATAAACGGAATTCGCCCAAACTAAAGCTAATGTATGAAATAATCGATCAAAATATAATGAAATTGTTTTAATATCTTGAACTTTTTCAATCATTTCAAGAATAGGTACAAGTGGTTTTAAATATAGAGCAATATTTTGTGCTTCAGCTAATGCTTGAATAATATCACGAAATATAATACGAAATCTTGAAAAATAATTTGAACTTGAAATTTCAAGAACTTCAGCAAGACGTCGAACTAATGGTGAATGCATCTATTGATTTAATTTTCTTTTTTTAGAATAATCAATATGAATTGTTAAACATACTTGTGTTTTAATTCCTTGTAAATTTTCTGCTCGATTTGTCCAAAATTCAATTTCAACATTTGGTAATATATAATATTTATTGTTCGGTGGATCATGATCATAATTGATTACTGTTTGAATTTGATTTTTCCAAGTTATTATAAGATTTTCTAATAAACGAATTTTTCGACCATCAAATGTTTTATTACTAATTATATACGAAAACAAAACATATTATCGATGAAATAAATTTTTCGATAAACTATTCTTACTGACTAAGTACATGAAGATAATCTGATTTTGATAAAAATTCAATTTCATGTGGTATTGATAAGATTGTTTGACCTCGAAGTATTCCATTGATTACTGTTAATAAATTTGTTAATTCAGATATATTTTCCATACAATTCCGAAGAACAATATCAGGCCAATCGGATATTGTTTTTCTACGTTGTAATATTGGCCAAAGAATCTAATCAAATAGATAAATATTTTTAAAATAATTATATTGAATAATATACTTCAGATATAAATAAACTTAATTGTGTAATTGATGAAGATGTAAATTCTGCAATAGCTATTTGTTTTTTTAATGGTATATCTTTTTCAATAATAGTTTCATTTCGTTTAACAAAACAGATTATTTTTGATTTCAATTGAATTGGAAATTCAGTTAGAAGATTTAATGAATCAGAATTTTCAAATATAAGTATTATATTACGATCAGGTTTATCAAAAAATGATTCAATAAGTTTACGATTTATTTCATTATTTATAATTGCTAAAAACGAAAAAGTAAAAAAAAAAAAAAACTTTAAGATTCCAAACTAGTCGACAGAAAATAAAACACCTTTTTTAAATGCAATTAGTGTTGTACCATAAACAATATTGAGATAAGTAACAATAAAACGAAAACGTTGATCTTCCAATTCCATATCATCATTAACAATTTCAACTTCACCAATATCACTTGAAATTGAACTTCGTTCATTGACACTCTCATTCATTGTTATTAACAATGCAAAATGATTTAATAGCGCCTTTTTCTTGAAAATTTAATTTCAATATTCAATTACCCGTATCTCTTGGTAGAATCAATTTCAAAAGATCTTATTATTAGAGATTGTCTATGAAGGATTTCCAGGTAATGAAACAGAAAAATGCCAACTATTTTTGAACGTTCAAATACTCACGATGAATATGTTTCTTTTTTTCCTTGAATATAGTGTTGAAATAATTAAAGAATATGTTACATAGGCACATAGCTGTTTTATGGAGCAGTTTTACGAGATTTTCCAGTACATTTTTATTAAATTTCATTTTTTATTTTCCCTATTCTCTACTCATTAAAATGCAATGTATGTAGAAAAAAAAAGACTTTGCAATAGATTATATTTTTGTTTGTTGTTTATTTAACGAACTGTTATTTTATAAAAAGAATGAATCTGAACAGTGGAAAGAGGTGAAACTGCGATATTCGCTTGAACGTCCTTTACGGTTGGTCCTGAGTAAAATAATATTTTTATTTTCAAGTTTCCCAAGAATTAGATTTATATCAATTTCTTGAGGTACCATTAGATGATTCATAATGAATGACCGATTTTTGTATTTTTTGTCGTTTTATCACTTAGAAAGTTTGATTTAAAAATAAAATCTAATACAAGATACAGTGTAAAAAAGTTCTACAATCCTTCGTTCGGAAAATAGTCACAGTCTTGATCGTTTTCGGATAAGCGATCAATTTGTTTTTTTTATTCCATCGATTAAAAACAATTCTATTCATTGATGAAATGATAAGGAGTAGATGGTCAGGAGGCATAAATCAAAAGGCCAAGTATTAAGAAGGAAGAAAAAGAATTATTCCCTGGTTAGGGATATCTAAAGATGGTTTACGTTTCTAAGGATATTAAAACCTAATGAAACATTCTCATATAAGAATTATTTTGACATTGTTCTCTCACTTGCGCAATCTGACAACCGACGACTTTTGTGGCGATGATTTCATTTATCAACAAGATAATGCTATGGTACATACTCATGAAGAATATTTGAGATGGTGTGGAAGAAGTTTCATGCATTTTATGAACAATATCAAGTGACCATCAAGCAGTCTTGTTCTCAATGTTTTGGACTAGTGTGTGTTGGATGATATTAATAAAAGTATGTAACGGGATAAAGTTAAAAATTCCGATTCTTTAATTGACAGAATAAGAAAAGGAATTCATTGTATACCGAAAAATGATCTTGTTCGCACAGAATTTGGCTCATTTTGAAAATAAAGGGTACATATGCTAGATAAGACGTTTATTATAACTTGTGTCACACTGCATCATGTAGTGTACTTAGTAATAAAAAAGTACAAATACAAAAACTGGTCATTCTTTATGAATCATTCGTTAACAATTTTTTGATTTCATTCAATTTTCATGTTTAAGAGACGGATGCGTTAAATACGGTTCATTTATGTATGAATATACAAGCATTCATAATCACAATAAACGGAGAATGCAAGTCAGCTTTTTTCAAAAATGTGTTAACATCGCATTAGTGAAGCAGTTTAAAAAAAAATGTTGCTCATTGCAATCTATGGTTAGAAACAATTGTATTTCACTTCAAAGAATAATTATCACATAAGGTAATTCATAAAATTCCATAAGAGTATCATGTATAGTAATATGTGGCATGACGATTTTTATTATCGGTTGCATCAAGTTCTTTTTTCAGTTGTGTGAATATGTTTAATGTTTCGATTACTGACACTAATCTTCGTCCTGATTTGGAGAATATTTTTTTACATCAAAACTTGAAGAAAATTCTTAAATATTCGCTTTTTGATTTATTCAATCAATGAATTTCAATATTTGCTTCTATGCATTACATCTTTTTGAAATAAGGATTTCCGATGATTTAAGATTCTTATTAGGAATCGCTGATCATATATTTCAATTAGATAAGCATACATATATGTAAAAATACTTTGTATTTATGATAGCAGTATAAGTAAATTGAAGAAAAATAGATTTCTATTCTCTTGTAAAAGATGTTGAAATCAATTATTGAATCTCAGCAGGATATATATTTTTTAATAATAGCTAATGCCATAGATGATTACATATAAAAGATTTCATTTTTTCTTTTATTTCATAGTATCTAATTCGAAATATTTAACATATTCAAACAAACCACTGGGATATTTATTGCTATTTTTTAATTAAAACCAAAGTCACCAAACAAAAATGTACTTTAGTTAGAAACAAATAAAACGAAGCCTTATTCATTCGAGAACGTGGCAGTTGCATTACCATGAATCAATAAAGTAATAAGATTGATCAGACTACAAAAGAAATGAATCGAAAACAGAAACAAGACTACGTACTTTTATTACATAAACAAAATAAAATACAGGAACAACGGCAGTTACGGAAAAAAACAAGTAAGATTACATTGTTATTTCATGTTGAACAAATTTTCTTTTAGATCCTGATATTCATTCAACTAACTCTACATTCATCGTTCGTTCAGAAGATCAAAATAATGAAAACAATAAATCTCTAGATTCAACAATATCTATTCCAAATGGTATTCAACAATCAACAGTACCAAAACGAAAATCAATTGTTCATCAATTCTATAATGTTTATGCAGGAATGTCCGATGAAGAGTGGACAAAAACACGAGATGCATTTATTGCTGCATATTTTAAAAAATAAAGAAATGTATGTTGGTAACTAAGACCCATCAAAAGTGTTGAGATACATATTACATGATAATAAAGAAAGCTTAACGAAGAATTTCCTTTTATACATACTTGTACTACTAACAATCTTCTATATTTATCTATTGTATAATCATTAATGAGTCGACATCATTTTCTTAAGATTTAATAGAAAACTATATGTATCATTAATTTCGGGTGAATAAAGAATAGCACAATTTTAAATAAAAAAAACGATATACAACAAGTAATTGAATTATAAAACTGCAAAAGAATTACTTCTATATCTGTCTATCTTGTTTCTTTTTTATAAATATAAGCGAAATTCTATCAGTAGCAAGAAAAATATAGATAAAATTCTTTAGAATGCATCAATAGTCTTCAATAGAAGTTTAGATGTTTTACTTTAGTGCAAATATGATGCGGTGCTTCGAATGTAAAGTTTTCTGTAGTTTTGTGTATATATGAATGGCTAATTGTAAGATCAAGGAGTGGTGATAAAAGCGTGTTGCTATTAATGAAAAGCTGTTCTATATTATTGCTATTTTCGTAATTTTTTGTGAGTTGGAACACACAAGATAACACAAAGATCAATGGGATTGAATTATTTTCTATTAAGTTCACGTGGCGCTTTATAGTTTGGTAGCTATTTGTTAGAAACAGAGAACCCAGTTAAAAACGAAAATGAGCTAGTAATACAAACATAGTTTTCATGCTCAAATGAACAACAAAAATTTGTAAATAAACCTAGAGAAAAGTTGCTGCTGATATGATGCACTCACTCAAGTCATAGACGAGACGCACATAGTCTCCATATTTGCTTTAGACACGACACACTACATCAATTTAACCAATCAGCCTAAAGTCAACGTTGTCTCAGATTCTCTTTTCAACTGGATTAAATGTGTCAAATTTGTTTCGAGTTCAGTTAAACATGGTTATATCAACTTGAGTGAACAACAAACATCACGAAATCTTTTAAAGGAATCAGCTCCTTCTTTGTAGTTTCATCTTTTGCTAAACGTTTAAAAACAAAAGAAAAACTGTTTGATCTCGATTTGACATTTGACTTGCTCGGCATTATACCAGATGTCGAGAAAAAAGCCCATTATCTTATTTAAGTTCGTGCAACCGATAGTGGTTGGCTACTGACCGACAAATATGTCACCAACGATAAAAGAGAACTAACTGAACAATCGGCTAAACTACTTGTCTAGGAGCTGGTCATACAAAGAAACGAACCTGATAAGTCGATTTACTGCATTCAACTTTTATTAAAACAGTCGAAGGATCAACAGATAGGTTAACCAATAATGTAAATCGCGTGCGGTTAATAATATACCAATGGACATATGCGCAAAGATGTCAAAGTAAAACGAATATTTCGTTATTCTTTTGAGAGAGTGCTATTTAATTTCTAACTTCATAACAGCTAGATGAAATTTCATTCTGTTTTCTAAAACCAAATCGGATATGTTTACCAGTGATCTTAACCAGCAGTATCACATCTTTTCTACTGTCAAAGAAAAGTTTATACATATAGAACAGCAAGATTTAGCTTTTGGATGGATATAATTCGATTTTTCAAAGTATTACTTATAGTAGGAAAACAATACGAAACATTCCAGTATACGAATCTCCAGTACTTGGTCTGCTATTTTTCATCAAGTAGTTCAATAAATACTTGAAACTGAAATGCAAAACGAATGTTTCATTTTTATCACTAATATTAAAATCTACTACAACTACTATTATATCCGCTTTTGTTGGGACTGCACAGAAGAAATTATATTGTAAAAACTGAATGAAAACAATAAATAATATCTTCACAGAAGTTTTCAACCCAGCGAGTCAGACTTACATTTTCATGTGTAAGGGTGTAGGTGTTGTCTTACTCTAGTTACAACTAACACTCATATCCGAAGGTTCAAATGGAAAATTCTATTATAAAAACTTTGCTCGATCAGTCATACAGAAGAAAAAAATACTAGTAATTATGAGTATTGTGTCTTGCATATGATTTAGAAACTCAACCCACTGTATCTCTTGAGTAAAAATTCCAAAGTTTTACCTTATATGACGCCTAGTTGTGAAGGATTTGATGGCGGTTCTTTGGAGATGAGAACCAAAGCCTTCTGATTAAATATAGTATAAATAGAGTTACAATACTGACTACCACATTTAAGTTGAACTACTCTAAATAGCAGACAATGAATGTAAAGCACAGATTACACAACAAAAACTTCACCAATCATTATGTACAATGAGGCATACATCCGCATCTACTGAACATCACGAAAGAAAACTTCGATGGACAATGAAGAACTGAAAGACAACGATATCTGACAGAGGAATCTCATGAGTTGCAAGAATCGCAAGATAAGATTTGTTCATTCTGCAGCAACAAGAAAACCAATATATGAAAAGTGTCTTATTTGTCAAACGATGATCTTTGTGAGCATAAGACTTGAATTCTTATGTGACGAAATCTCAACTAACGGATCAACTTCTTTGGTCAACATACTTGTTCTCTCAGAAGAAATCGTTCGTTCTATGATCAATTCATTCTCATTCTTTCCACATCAAACAAATTTCAGCAGAAAATAATCTAATTGAGTCTGTATCGAAGTAATTCTATTTGGGATCATCCGTAGGGAACGCTCTGGTAAAAATCGCATGGTTTGACTCTTTTTCTTTCGTTTGAACGTCCAGTATTAAAAAAAGCTTTTTAGAAAGAGCCTGCTTGTCCAAACACACTGCGACCTTTATATGAAATAACAAACAAAATTTAGCCCATTGCAGAGTAGCAGAAAATAACAAAAACCAACAAGGCAGTTCAATAGCAATGGCACTCAAAAATTTAACAAGGTTCCCATTAGTGCTTCAAAAAATAACTAGCTGTCCATATAGCATAACCTTCAATTATTTCAATAGTATATTCATGTTCAACTGATCTTCTTATTTAAAAATGCTCTTCAACACCAGCTAAGCTTAGAAATTTCATGGAAAGTTTTGTGGAAAAAAGGAAAATATTCAGAGTAAGTGCCCAGACATCGATAAATGTTACATATTCCCCTTGTGTCGAGATATAATACAGTTTCCTTCGTCCTTGTACCTGGACGCCCTCTATGCATTATCCGTAAACATACATCATATAAAATAAAAAAGAATTTAAAGAAATTTGAGTTTTTCGACTTTTAATATGTAAGCACAGAAGGAATTCTATCAAAATGCAGAACAAAAATAGAATTACATCTGAGTTAGATATATTTTTCCCCTACCCATCTATTGTTATTGTTAACGATTAAGATAAAGTTCGAGGACCATTAAGCGATCGAATTATGTCTTGGGTAATTTTAAAATCCAGTTTCATACTATTTAATCCAAGTTTAACATTTATAGTTCATTTTTTCTTATCAATCTCGCATTTTTTTAATTGACAGAATAGTTTTAAGTCTGGTGCTATTCTTTTGTCACTATGTGAAAGTTAGAATAACAATAATGTATTTTATGCTATATTACTAACGCGATGTTACAAAATTATCGTCGACCTTTGATTGAGAAAAGTTCTGCAACCGTCTAGTACAATGTTTCAAAGGAAAATATAACCAAAAATATATCGTGCTTAGGGCTACAACATGTCTGAAACACAGACTGATAGCTAATACTTTCTTCCATGATACAAACAAACCATGACCTAGCTTGTATCCTTATTTGTGCTGATTTGATCTTCTTGTCATAAAAAATGGCCGTCAAAAAATTATAGAAATAGTTCATATTGTAGAGATATAAATCTCTATCATCTGAGATGTTTCACGCCTCAAAGTATTTAACAACGAAGAAGAAAATTTCAAAGTATGAATAGAATTAAACAATTAAGTTTTTTGAGTATGATAATAAGCTTTGAAGAACTGTAGTCCTTGTCAAATCTTTTTCAAGTAAACCATAATGAGCTTTTATTTGAAATATCATAACAACTTTTTGCAGGGTTTTGAATGAAATGACCAATTCAAAATCTAAAACTTCTCCGCAGACGAGATGGTCGATCTTTCGATGTACCATCTCTAAAGTCACACATCGAATGTTATATTTACTGATTAGTGTCTTGGTAATTATCCTAAAATTATTCATGAAATCATTATCAGTGACATACAATGGAATGTTTCAACAATTACTTTTCAATTGAAAAATAATTTTCGCCTTGAAAAGTTAAGCATTTGTTTATTTCAGACAAAAAAAGTATACAGGAGTGTTGCAAGTTTGAATAGATTTTCAAATGCTTTTTTTTAAACAGTTACACTACTTGTAAATCTCTCATGTTTTTTATTTTGTTTCAGCAACCTATTCTGCCCAAAACTAAAATAGTTAAGGACCTGCCAAAGAACCTGTTGGCGTTTACCACGAAGTTATAAAAAGTCATCAGAATTCTACAAGTAGTGTAACTGGTGAAAAAAATTATATTTTTCTCATACATTATTAGGTATTGCAGCATGAAAAAAAGCATCAGGATATCTGGTCAGATTGCCTGTTCCCATGTATATCATTATTCAAAAATAAAAACCAAAATTCTCTATAAAGAAAAACGCTGTTATTTATAATATAAAATACATAACTCAAATTGATTGTAAACACTTTCATTGATCTGGATGAATCAGAATCAGTGGACGAATGGAAACTGTTTTTCCTGGAGATTTTACAAGATGACCAATTGCTCCATTTGATAATGCTGTTTTATCATTTGATACAGAATTCGGACATATTTCGTCCTTAGATTGAAAATGAATTCTTGTGTCTCTTATTGCACTATTAAATCGTGTTCGTAAATGAACAATTTCAAACACATAATTCCGATAAGCATCTGATTTTTTCGATAAATGAAGTAGAAGAATATCGCAAACAAATGTTGCTAAACCAAAGAGTCCAACTAATGAACCAATATTTAAAGTCGATGTAATAATATCAAATTTTCCAGCTTTACCACTAACAGAAATTATA